TTTCTCCGGACGACGAATCATTGGCCATTTTCTTTCTCTTTTTTTTTTTTTTTTTATATATATATATTGAAAAACGGATCCGCGTTTAACTTTCGGATTCGACGATTTCTCTTCGTTTTCCGCGATTATTTATCTCTCCACGCCTTCCCTCCCTCTCTCTTTTCTCTCGTTTATTCCACCAACGGTTGTACTTGCTCCGATCAACTTTTTGTATATTGTATTTTTCCCCCCCCCCCTCTTTTCCCCCTATTTTTACATATTTCGCGGAGAACGCGAATAATGCGTGAATAATTTAAGTTAAACACCCTAAATGTCGAGGACTGCCCTTTTGTTCCTACTATTCCGTGTCCTTTCTTCTTCTATTTTTTTTTTTTTTTTTTTTATTCCTTTATTTTATTCCTATGTAATTTACGTACGATTAGTCATATACGTAACACGAGTAACCTAAGATTTTTTTTTTTTTTCTTACGACATTTTACGTTTAGATTTTAGATTAGATAAGACACGTAACACGTTCGATAGACGGATGCCGTAATTTCGACAACTTTCTTCCGGTTTACCTTCGAGTATCACGTACCTTTTTTTTCTTTTTTCTTTTTTCTTTTTTCTTTTCAAGGATCACTTTTCTCTTCCTCTATTTTTTTATGCGCTCTCTCTCTCTCTCTCTCTCTCTCTCTCTCTCATCTCCTACGTTACCTTATTTTTCGCGTTCGTTCGCGTACAAAAACTGCCTCTTAGCTCTGTCCAAAAGACAATGTTTCCTCGCACACAAACATACACACACACACATACACACACACACATACGACTGCTCAATAAGACTAGATTGCTCAAGTTCCGTGTCTGTTCCGTGTAGTTAGCGCGAAATCAATCAGGGAAACATGGACGCAAGTTCTCTGGACGCGTTGCACTCGCGATGCACAAAAGAAAGAAGAAAAAAAAAAGAAAAAAAGAAAAAAGGAGAAAGTGGAAAAAAAAGAAAACGATTTTTCAAAGTCTCCCACGGTAACTAATCTTCCTCGTATATTTCCTATTTTCCTATTTTCACCTTTCTCTCGTTGTCTCCATCTCTTCCCTTTCCACAGGCCCCCCTCTCTCGCAAACTTTTACGTATATATATATACACGCATATAAAAATTCTACCTACATACGCGCTCTCCTAGACGAGAAACTAAGAGAAGAAGAAGAAGAAGAAGAAAATCACTTTGACCGACTTCCTCGGAGAAACGACTAATTTTTTTATACAAGGATCTTGTATAAGCGAAGTTTTTTTTCTACGCTGAACACGTATTTTGCATAAGAAGACAAGAAGAAAAAGAAGAAGAAGACGAAGAAGAAAGTAAAATAGAGTCGAGAAGATATTTTAAAATATCACGTAATTGTTAATTCGACTGTTAGAATTACCGTATACATATATATATATGAATATGTATATATATATATATGTTAAGTATTGTTACGTCAAGCCCGCGAGAGGAAGGAAAAGG